GGACAGGCCATTTTTAGTCAAGATAATCTAGATATACATAATAAAAAGTGGTATTGGATTGAAGTCAGGACATCAGATTTGCAAGGAGATCAAACTATGATTTGACTGGAGCTGTGTGTGTGTGTGTGTGTGTGTGTGTGTGTGTGTGTGTGTGTGTGTGTGTGTGTGTGTGTGTGTGTGTGTGTGTGTGTGTGTGTGTGTGTGTGTGTGTGTGTGTGTGTGTGTGTGTGTGTGTGTGTGTCGCGTGCTGCGGACCACACTGCAGGACTGGCCGCTCAGGAATATTGCATGTAATTGAAACTGAACGGTACATTGAATTGGCTCCACTTTCTTAGATATAATCGTAAAGGGAAGTACCAAAGCGCCTTCCATGAAACGGAGGCAGTAAAATCAGAGGATGCACATGACATGGACTGAACTTCATAATTCAGTGTGATCCTGTTCTACGAAGTCTGGCACACAGTCTAAGAAATCACAGTTATATACACAGTATGAGGTAATGTCCCTTTCCTCCACATTTTCACAGATTTCCTGTTAGGTTCTGGTGTTTTCTTCAGCTTCCCCACCTGAACGTGTAAATATTTGTTTACTATGTGTGAACAACATTTTTCTCCCATCGTAAGTGCTAACCTTGATCAGAAACTGTTAATGACTTTATTCTCTCCTCTTTACAGGAGGGCATCACAAGCCTTTTCATTTTCTTTGCTCCAGTTTTCATAATTTCTCCAAAATGTATTCATTAAACATACTATTCTGGGGTAATGGTGACTTCTAATCACATTGCTAAGGCCACTGCTTCGATATAATGAACATTTATATTTATACCTATTATTTTTACCCGCCCAGCTGTCATACCAAATTGACAAGCCTTAGCAGATGGCTCAGTAACACATACAGCTAGTCTTTAAACCGCCTGAGCTTCACGACTGCAGTTAAAAGAAGTAGTCAGAAAACATGGAGACGATCTCAGTGATAACCTGTCAGAGATACAGGAAAAAACGACACAATGAAAAAAAAGAATATACTTTATCTGCACTGTCCCTTTGCTGTAACAGTATACATTTCCCCAATTTGGGAGAAATGAAAGATTTCAGATTGGGATTTATTGGGTTTTTGCCTGCAGCTAACCATTCAATAATCCATTTATGCTTTTTAATCAGTGTTTTTAAATGTCATTTTTTTATTGTGATTCTGCTGCACTATTTCTTTAAGCTCTAAAGTTTTTATTTTTGTAAAGCACAGTGAATTGCCTTATGTTGAATGGGTATTATATGCTTGCCTTGCCTTTTTTGTTTTTTGATCAACCACTTTGTGTTGTCCATCATAATTTCAAGCTCAAGTTAACATTGCAAAATAGCTTGTTTATCAGTCGGACGAAATGTTCAAAAACCTAGAAATACATTATATATAAACATATATATATTTACAATCCAATCGATAACATAGCATAGTTTAGACACTTTAATACAATCATAAACACTCAAAGGTCAGGCACTGTGGATAATTGTGGACTAACAAAGGTATTTCATGGCAAAAAAATCAGGGCCAACTTAATAATATAAAAAATTGAAACATTACGGCACAACAGGAGAACTTTAAGGAGTTCACAGACCTTTCCATCAATTTGGAAGTATTACGGCCCAAAGTCAACATCCAACAACCATATGCATCAACACTGAAGAAGTACACTGTTTTCCAAATCACTGGTATAAGTGTCTGATCAAAACCAAATAAATAAAAAGTGTAACGACGACAATTCCTGGCCCTAATGACCAGTCTTACTATGTAAATGTGGCAGCACAGAAAAATTGCTGACCAAGCAAGCGATGCTGTATAAATACTTTGACTCAGCAGACCGTCTGGAACAACAGCACGCCTTTAGAGATGTTCTGCATCCCCCTAAACAATAAGACTTGGTTATTTCTCACAGGATTAGGTTTATAAAGCTTTTTTTGAATTACTTTAACATAAATCAAATCGTGCTCACTGCCTACAGTATGCATATGAAATGTTCCACCTCTTTGGCAACATAGCCTTCTTTCCTGTCATGCAATAAAGCGCATTTTAATTTTAATTTGGGAAAGGGAGAACAAAATGGAGAGAAAATAAAGATTAAGAGAAGGGGAGAACATTGCAGAGAAGGAGAAAGCAATGAAAGAGGAGGGACTCAGAGAGGGGGAATAAGGTGGAGAGGACAGAGGAAAGGTGTAGAAACAGGAAGATAGCAGGGAGGACAGAGGGGTGTAAAAGGAGAGAGGAAAGGAAGGAGGTGGGACTGACAACAGCGGAAAAAAGTGAGTAAATACTCCCTCTCCCCTTTCATCTGCAGGCTTAAAGGCTTAATCAGCTGCCTTTGAGTGTGTGTGCTCCCCTGTGTGCATGTGTATGCTCCCCTGTGTGTGTGTGTGTGTGTGTGTGTGTGTGTGTGTGTGTGTGTGTGTGTGTGTGTGTGTGTGTGTGTGTGTGTGTGTGTGTGTGTGTGCGTGCAAGAAAGGCAAACTGCTGCTGCTGTTGTTCATAAGTCAACCACCAGATGGCAGCATACACTCACAATTTCATTCCTGTGCATTTGAAGTGTAATTTAGTACAAGGCCTTGCACTGCGGCAGGATGCTGAAACAGGGAAGCTAACTTTTAGTAGTTAGTTAGTTTCCATTTTGCTTTTCCTTTTATAAACCTGTTTGTACAAAATGTATACTTATGCTAGTAAATGTGAATCTCTTCCCAATTAGAAACCTCCAAGACACTTACATTAGAAAGAAGAAGACATACTTTATTAATCCCTTACGGAAAGATGTCTTTCTCCATTCTGATGTGTTTGCACACATTACGCAGACAATGTAGAAACAGTCACATTGTGCTCATTTACTGCTCAACACTAACAATTCCAGATTTGAAAGGAAAATTGGCCATACTATAGTCACTCCTCCCATTTTCATCGAAGATCAATGCCATCAATGCTTTTGTATAAACACTTAACAGACCTTCTGAAATCCTGCCTGACTTACTGACAGCGTTTCAGTTGTCAGCTGTCCTGTGAGTGCAGACTCCTTCAGAAAGTCTACAAGAACTTCTCAATGTCCAACGTGATGTACGTCTGTGATGCAGGCTGTAGACAGCGTGACAAACAGAGATTACTCTGTGTCCGCCAGACGGTTATCATAGCCGCTTCATCATGGCCTCTGTAACAAAGACTGACTCTGTTCGGCTCATCACCACCCTGACTTCAACCTGATGCTTCTGCCCCCCCGTGCTGAAAGCAACACATATAAGCACTGTGGATAAGGGTAAGACTTATCCAGACTTATTTGTTAAATGGTTATTATGACCATATCATATTTTGCCAACTTAAAGTGACAGCATTTGATATTTTTGTGCCATTATTCAGTATCATTTTCAACCTCTCAGGGAGTTAAAGCTTCTAAAACTGTATTTTGATCCTATTGTGATTCTTAAAATAGCCAAATCCATATTGAAAGGACGTTTTGGGGGGGAGTGGCAGCTTGTTGAGACTCGTTGAGGCAGGTCGTTGCTTAGGATTAATAGAAGGCAGAGAAAAAGCATATCAAAAAACACTAGAATTATTCTTTAAGGCAGATATTTCATTTAGTATAACAAGAAACAACCTTTGTACTTGTGATAAGGTGGCATTCTGTGATATCAGAATGACAAATGGGGCATTTTAAACACCTTGTTCCAACTTTTACGAGATATATTCAGCCTATGAGTAATGGTCCAGAATTCGGTTCAAGCCATCTTTGAGTGTGCCGATGTAAACAAGGCCGCTTCCTGCTGTTCCATAGTCAATGAGCTGTTTGTCAGCTAGCCATAGATTAGCTGTCCCAGACAGTGGAGCCAACAGTGAAACAAATGGAGCCGAGACAGATGCGAGCTCTCGCTGCCATCCTTCACTGTCAGTGCGGCCCGATTTAACATCCAGCGCTCTAACGCAACATCTCACAACATGGAGGATGGCATCCAAGAGGTGTGCCAGCTGCCCGGTGAATGACACTAACGGAGGTGGGAGGGGACTACTGGCACATTAGAAGAAGGGGAAGTGGCACCATGTTTTTCTTCTTCTCACACTTATTGTATTTGCACTATTTTAGCTGAGTGGTCCAAAACAAGAGGGATTGTGTTTTCTTAACGGACTCACGCAAACTCAGTATTTGTTTTCCCATATTGAATTTCTCCAACAAAACAGATGCCTGCCTCTGGATATGTTCATCCATTAGAGACCATCAGGTTTAGAGTTACAACAGTTACTCCATTCATCAATTTGTTTGAATGACAGAGAATCAACCAGCAAGAATTGTAAAAATTGATCAATCACTTGTTTTTTTTTTATAATAACAAACGTTTCCTTCTGTTAGCTTCTCATTTGTTATAAGCTGCTGCTTTCTTTCTACTGCTAGTCCATCAATAATTCATATGTTTTGGAGTTTTGTTCAGAGAAAATAAATTACTTGCAGACATTAATGTACCGTGCGTTCAATTTGCAGACTAAATGATACATTCTTTAATCAAGAACATTATAACAATAGTAAAAGAGGGTGGAAATAATTAATAGAAGTAGCCCATATTTAGAAGGCTGTGCTCTTATTTGATTAACATCTTACTTGATGAAAATCAAACATTAATTAAAACATGTTGAACCATTAGGTATTCAACACTTATTTTATAAAAAAGATTTTCTCTTTTGGGGACATGGGAAAAAATGATATCTTGTCTTGATGTTAATGCACTCTTGAGTATGCATGTGGTGAGCATAATAGAAGTAACTTTGCAGAAGCAAGACATCCAATTATTCTATTAAAGAGTGCTAGTTGCTCTAATTTCTCAAAACACAACACATCTATTGCAAATCTGTTTAATCACTTTCTTTTTCCACAGAGGATTCTTTACAGCATTACTCTGAAAAGTGGTTGAATCTAAAAACAAAGCAATGATACATGGCTCGCAGCTAAAATGTGCTTTTGCAGTTGTCAAGATGAGGCTCACCTTCTCTGCTTTGGGTGCGTGGGAGGGGCCCGGCGATGGCGGCTGGAGGGGATTGGCTGGGTCGCCGTTGAGGAGCACCGCTGACACGTTGGGAGGCGTGAGGCAGGACAGAGGGGAGGAGAGCGGGAGGAGGGGCCTCGAGGCGGGCGAAGAGAGAGGGGAGGGCCCTAGGCAGGGTCCCGGAGACACCATGGAGTGAGGACGACCCGATTGGCCAGGGCAGCGCGAGGGGGAGGAGCTCTGAGGACGCAGCGGGGAGAGAGCCACTGTGGGACGCTCCGGGCTGCCAGCTGGTGGACTGTGGACTAAAACAGAAAAAAAACTTGTTGTTATTAATGTAAAAACTGATTATAAATGCAGTTATTTCGTTCCTGAGTGAGTCCATGCCAATGTTTTGGGAGCTCTCAATATCTGAAGAGAGATATGATATCAAAATAATCCTTCAAAAGCCACATTTATGCAGACTTTAGGTTACAGAGAGATTCTCTTTCTGAAAAGGTTTACTGGGTAGAGCAACATTAATTAACACCCATTATTCGTTTATGCGTTAAGGCTTTAGGATAACATAGGAAAAGGCTGCTGAAAATAATGAGAAGTTAAAATGTACTACAGTATTTATGACATTTCGAAAAGAAAGCACATAAAATAAATGAATAACTAAACTGAAAATGTGTAGGTGGAAGCTTAAGCTTCTAAAGCCTACAATTGTATCATATCGTATTAGAATAAACAAACTCTTTCACTACAAGGTTTACACAGACAAACAAAAAGATTAACAATTGTTTTACTTATTTTAATTATGCTAATTTCACCCCACATTCCTTATTTGTTGTCACAACTACACCAAGTTAACACCTTTGACAGATATCACTTTTAAGTCTTCCAACCTTTGTTTTTCTAAACATGCCTATCCCCATATGTCATATTAAGTTCATTATCTATGAGTATCTTGTTTAAAAGTTTGGAGTCTTCAATTCTCCTACATAGTCCATTTCTTACTCTGAATAAAACTCACAAACACCAGGTAAACAGCCCAACCTGGGATAATAAGGTTGAATAATTCAAACCCCATCCCTAAAACATTTGAATATGTGGAGCACTGTGAATAATCTAAGCTTAATTCGAGCACCCTAAATTCTGAACAAACCCCATCAGGAAAATAAACTGTCTGAGATGTCCTGAGTTTTGGATCACTTTTCCCAGCGTTCAATTTGTATGAGGTCATTTGCTTCTCATGAGGATAAAGTACACACATACACACACACAGGCATAGATGCTCAAAAACACACACTAGCCACCTGTTCTTCCACACTGCAGTACTTAGGCAGACATCCACAGAGAGGCTCACTGGTCATGTGATAAAACCACTAAGCGCTAGAACTATGCACATACTTTATTTTGTAATGGAGACCAGATGTGTGTCTGTTTGTGTGTATGTGAGAGTGAGAGAGAAAAACAGAGAGGGGAAAGGAAGCTCTGTCATTACGCCTCCATAAAACAAAAAGCAAGCACAGTGATGTCATTCAGCTGCGCGTACAGGAAATATGTGTGCTCACTGTGCACATGCCTGTGTGTGCGTGTGTGTGTGTTATTCTTGGCAGTGTTCTCACAGTGTGTACTTGTCAGCGTCCCAAAGAAACGGTCACCATTATTTTCTCAGAAGGAGAAAGAAAACATACAAAGGGAAGAGAGAAAGGGGTTCTGGAGAGATGAATAGACTCTGAGTGGAGAACAAGGCGGGTATGATCTGGACCTTGTTCACAAATAGGTGTGTGTGTCCCGTTTGTGATTGTGTGTGTGTGTGTGTGTGTGTGTGTGTGTGTGTGTGTGTGTGTGTGTGTGTGTGTGTGTGTGTGTTTGTGTGTGTGTGTGTGTGTGCATAAGCAATACCACTGCACGATCAGATCTCTGTTTTGTGCCGACTGTATGTGCACAGTTTCAGTGCATTCTGCAGTTGTGTTGAATAATTCTGCTCCCAGTTACAGCATGTTGTTATAGCTGTTCTGCTACAGAGGCTTATGTTCAGCAATGATTCAGTGGGTTCGTATTGTGCAGAGGAAAGATGGAGTGAGCATGTATGATGTTCATAGAACAATATCATAGGGTTTTTTCCAAGCAAAATTGTTTGCAGCATGAAGGCTCTTTGTTTTCAATTGTCCCCTCACAACAAGAATACACCTGTTCCCTTTTTGCTCTCACTGTTTGAATGATTGTTTTGCGTTTTCTTCTCCATTCTGTGTTTTTGAACAGTCAAAAGACAGGCATGTTTGGGCTGCTGGGGCCTACAGTGGATTAAGGCTCTGACAATATAATTGCAATTCCCCCCAAAATCTCTTTCCCCTAATCACCTTTCTCCTGTGTCTACTTTATTGTTAAGGCAAAAATGTCTGAAATCAATTAATCACAAGATCTGATGAATAATATAAAGATACTCAAAATGAGTAGGTCTTTGTGGAAGTGTCAGTGTGTCTTTATAAGCGCTGTGATGCTTTGATGGGTGAATCAATGGAAAAAAGTTAGAGATGATCAAACAGATGATGTGCATATGACTGATTTATCAATATTTAATTGATATATGATAAATATACTTATGGCTTGTACTTTTGGTGTGTTTTGCAATGAGATTCTCAACTATCTTTTATGATCTTAATGTGCACTTTTGGCCATGTTCTGAATGTCACTAACTGGTTCTTTCTTTAGTTCTGATTCCTTTTCACTAACAGCATGATGGAACCAGAGGTTAAATAGTCTGCTGTTAACATAAACCTGCACAGTTTTACATGGTGCAGAGGCTACTTGAATTAATGATTGATCAATATTCTATTATTCTGTAAACACAGACTAAGGGGATAAAATGCTGCGACGACCCAAATTATCTGCACTCTGCTCCTTAAAGCCTGGAGGCTGCTGAGCAGTCTTATCGCGCGCCGTGATATTGCCGAGCATGACATGAAAAATAGCAGAGATGTGAGTAAATTCCTTCCACTTGCTTAACATTTCTCTGGAGGGTGCAACAAGAAACGGCTCTCCTTTCTCATGATGTCATACTGTGAGTCTTTAACGTGGCTGCTTCTGTTGCAGGATGTTTGTTTCACACGTAGATATCTCAACTTCTATTTGAGTGCAGTTTTGGAAAGGAAAACTATACATAGCTTATTTACTATGTAAGGTTGTGATTATGTTATGTCCTAAATAATCAGTAAACATGTGATTGGATTGACCAATACATAGAAACAAAACCGAACCTTCTGAATGTTTCATGGATCCAGTGCTTAATGATTAAAGCCCATTTTGTGTGTTTCTAACATGTGTTTGTCTGTGTGTGTGTGTGTGTGTGTGTGTGTGTGTGTGTGTGTGTGTGTGTGTGTGTGTGTGTGTGTGTGTGTGTGTGTGTGTGTGTGTGTGTGTGTGTGTGTGTGTGTGTGTGTGTGTGTGTGTGTGTGTGTGTGTGTGTGTGTGTGTGTGTGTGTGTGTGTGTGTTTGTGCTTACCCAGCTGCATTGAGGTGCGGGCCTGGTTGGCTGTGTGCTGGCTGGAGCGCAGGCAGTTCTTCAGCTGGGCGGCGGCAGTTTGTGGAGAGGAGGCGGGACTGGCAACAGAGTTTACTAGTGGGGTGGAGGGACGCGAAGAAGAGGGCCCCGGGGAGCCTGGGGACGAAGGGGCAGAGTGTCTACTGCACCCGCTACCTCCTCCTCCTCCTCCTCCTCCTCCTCCTCCACCCACTGGACTGGATACAGACGACCGAGAAGATCCAACTCCAAACGGAGCCCTACGGGAGACAGAGGAGTGAGGCTTGTCATTGAGTGTTTCACATGTTTTTTTTAATCTAATTATATGTCACCAAAAGTGATATTGCTTTAGGAATAAGGGTCTTTCTGTCATACCAATTAATGTGTCATGTCTTTTTTCTCCATAATTACTTTCTCTCACAACTAAATACCAGAACAAACTGAGTTTACTGCTGATTAGCTATTGTTGTCATGCTAACAAGCTAAATAAGGCTTCATTATACTTGTTTGTGGTGTTAGCATTTAGCTCAATCAAACTCTATGAAGCTGTGCCTGAGTACAGCCTCATAGAGTTTTGTTTAGTAAGAAATGTTAATAGCCAGTGTTTTGTCCATAATGGCAGACCAGGAGGTGCAAACGGGGCCATTATCCTCTGTCAAAGTGAGTGATTTCAGAGCTATTATCTGACTGGTGGATCAGCACGACTTAATGTCCAACTGTAACACATATGGAGCTGCAGGCTGCTCGAGGTCCTCTCTGCAGAGTGCTGAATGGCAGAACAGTGAGCCCAACATTATTGACTCGTATTCACACTCTTATGGCCGCCCATCGACTTCCTGTCACACACATACAGAGTTATGGCTTTCTCTGCGTGTGTACAGCATGTGTGTGTGTACCAACAGAAACATCAGTTATTCACACACTCTTTGCCTATCAAGTGTGTTTGGCTCGCTCGTAAAGTCCCATACGGGTGTTTTTTGCTGCTATCAGTAAGTTCTTACTACAGTATTTTACAAAAGGGAAAAAAATCAACCTTTACACCAATAGCGCATCTTGCCAGAGTTCAAAATCCTCATGAACAGCATTTATGCATTATGAAACCCAATCATTTATCAAGAAATATCAAATTAATTCAGGAAAACTATGATAGAAATGCATTCAGGAATCTTGCATGTTTGTTTCAATCATGACATTCAATTCCACAACATATATGCAGTGAACCTTCTGGATCCGCACCATTCTGGTTTCAAGGCAGGTCACTCAACAGAAACTGTTCTCCTTGCTGTCTCTGAGGAACTGCAAACTGCTAAAGCAGCATCCCTCTCCTCTGTCATCATCCTTCTGAGCTGTCTGCTGCATTCGACACGGTGAACCATCAGATCCTCCTTCGCACTCTCCAAGAACTTGGAGTTTCAGGCACTGCACTTTCCCTCCTCACCTCATACCTCAAAGACAGGTACCTACAGGGTAACTTGGAGAGGGTCCGAGTCCGACCCTTGTCAATTAACTACAGGGGTCCCTCAGGGCTCTGTTCTTGGTCCCCTCCTCTTTTCCTTGTACGCAAACTCGCTCGGGTCTGTCATTAGCCCGCATGGTTTTTCATACCACTGCTACGCTGACGACATCCAATTAATTCTGTCCTTTACCCGCTCAGAGACCCAGGTCGTCGCACGCATCTCTGCTTGTCTAGCTGACATCTCTCAGTGGATGTCTGCTCATCACCTCAAGCTCAACCTTGACAAGACTGAACTGCTTTTCCTTCCGGGAAAAGATTGTCCCACTCTTGACCTAACAATCAACATCGGCACCTCTGTTGTTTCCCCGACTCAGACTGCAAGGAATCTGGGTGTGACCCTAGATAACAAACTGTCCTTCACTGCAAACATTGCTGCAACAACCCGCTGCTGCAGATACACGCTTTACAACATCAGGAGAATACGTCCCCAGCTGACCCAGAAAGCGACGCAGGTTCTGGTCCAGGCTCTCGTCATCTCACGCCTAGACTACAGCAACTCCCTCCTGGCTGGTCTACCTGCATGTGCCATCCGACCTCTGCAGCTCATCCAGAATGCAGCGGCTCGTCTGGTCTTCAACCTTCCAAAATTCTCCCACNTGTGTGGGTTGTGTGTGTGTGTGGGTGTTGGTGGTGTGGTGTGTGTGTGTGTTGTGTGGTGGTGGTGTGTGCGTACATGTTTTGTGTTTTGTGTGTGTGGTGTGTGTTGTGTGTTGTGTGTGTGTGTGGTGTGTGTGGTTGGGTGGTGGTGTGGTGGTGTGTGTGTAGTGTGTGTGTGTGTGTGTGGTGGTGTGTGTGTGTGTGATGGTGTGAGTGTGTGTGTGTGTGTGGTGGTGTACGTGTGTTGTGTGGTTATGTTGTCGTGGTGTGTGTGTTTTATGTGTCCTGGTTGGTGTGTGTGTGTGTTGTGTGTGTGTGTGTGTGGTGGGGGGTTACATAGTGGTGTTGGTGTTGTGTGTGTGTGTGTGTGTGGTGTGGTTGGTGTTGGGTTGGGGGGGGGGGGGGGTGTGTGTGTTGTACATTCCTGTTTTTTTTACTTCTTGCAATTCGTTCTCAATGTTGTTCCAATGAAACTGTCACCCTGTCAGGTGCGTGACTTCAGAACTGATGAAAACACTCACACCCATAAACACACTTGGGGACTCTTTTGTCTTTGGGGATTGTGTTGGTATGCATTCAGAATCATTTTCCTTGGAATATGACGTGTCTTTCTTTAATGCAGTAACCCACAACGAGCACCTACATCTCAGAGCTTGATGTGTCCCTGAATGCAGCTGAGGAGCAAATGCTCCAATCACATGGCTTCAACAAAATCAATGTCAATCTGAACAAAGGAGGAAATGCCATCTACCTTTGGTCCAAACGTGGGTCAGAATAGCCTTAAAGAAACAACCCACTCGGTGGTACCGAGAGTCATGTATCTGAACCAATTAAAGAATTACTTATGGGTTGAACTCAAATTCAACTTAACATTAGAACTAAAGTCAGTCACAATTGGACGTGCACGGATCAGAATCTAAGCAATACACCATTTCCCCAGCTCTGTAATGAAAAGGATATCAAGATCAGGTACATGACGGGAGAGTTAAAACACCCAACATGCACACTTATCTTATTCTAGTAGAGATTAGAGGACAGGTCTAATGTCGTGAACAAATATATCAAGTCAAAGTTATTTAGTTATGATATCTTATGTACCCCATTTCATTTAATAATGAATCTTGAATTACTAATAACTCTAAAGAAGCCAACAATATACAATGTGGATTAAAGTGAACACTTATCCACAGTGTGTGTGTGTGTGT